GAGGCTTAGATTTAAATCATAGTTAAAAAGAGAGGAATTATAGGCGTGAGTCACTTTGCCCGGCCCATAAGCCATATATTTTTAAATATGCATGTAATTTCAAGTTCTGAACTCCTTGAAGCCTATCCATAGACTCAAGGTTAAGAATAAGATTATTCCTAAGGACTTCTCTCCTAAAATTTTATAGTTCTAAGATATATGAAACTCATTAACTCTTTTTCTTTTTTTTTTTTTTTGGAGACAAGGTCTGGCTCTATCAACTAGACTGGAGTGCAGTGGTGCAATCTCAGCTCACTGCAACCTCTGCCTTCTAGGTCCAAGCCATCCTCCCACCTCAGCCTCCTGAGTAGCTGGGACCACAGGCATACGCCACCACGCCCGGCTAACTTTTGTATTTTTTGTAGAGACAGGGTTTTGCCATGTTGCCCAGGCTGTCCTTAAACTCCCTGAAGCGCCCAGCAGTCACCTGCCTGGCCCTCCCAACGCTGGGACAACCAAGCATGAGCCCACCACGCACCCAAGACTCAATTACCTCTTTTTTTTTTTTTTTTGAGAACGGATTCTGCGCTGTCGCCCAGGCTGGAGTGGGCAGGGCCGGATCCAGCTCACTGCCAAGCTCCGCCTCCCTGGGTCCACGCCCCATTCTCCTGCCTCCAAGCCTCCGATAGCGGGACTACGCCGCCGCCACCCCTCGCCCGCAGTTCTGTGTATTTTTTAGTAGAGACGGGGTTTCACCGTGTTAGGCAGGATGGTCTCGATCTCCTGACGTTGTGATCCACCCGTCTCGGCCTCCCAAAGTGCTGGGATTACAGGCTTGAGCCACCGCGCCCGGCCTCATTAACTCTTAATAGCAATTAATATGTCTTACCATTTAAACTGAATTTTATTGTTGGACTCAAATTTAATAGTCTCAGACCATACACACCATCCTTTTAGATCATCTTTCTGCTTTGAGAGAGAACAAGTGATGTATTGGTTGGTCATCTGTCCAGACAAGGCCTTTGGCCTAAGCTCTATATAGAGGCTTAGATTTAAATCATAGTTAAAAAGAGAGCATCCTGAGATATATCTAAAATTTAAAAACATTTTAATGAGAAAGAAGTAATGTTTGCCCTATTGCAGTAGTAGGTGTTATACCTGTTTTGTGAATTTTAAAAACAAACTGTTTAGAGCCTAAAAGAGTAAACTACTGGCAAGGATAATCCAAGAAAGAACCATCAGCCGTGGGAGAGGCAAACAGCATCTTAGCAACGAACCCTGTTCTGCTTTGATCCGCAGCTATCCCTGGATCTCTACTACACTGAGGATGAAATCTATGAGCTTTCCTATGCCCGGGAACCAAGGAACCACAGAGCTCCAGTGAGTTTTTCATGTTAAGACTCCACATGTAACAGGTGCTTTACAAGCTTCTCCTCGAATTCATTCATCCTCAGGAACAGACTTTCGGTTCAGTTTAATAAGTATACCGTTTTTCTTAAGTGCTCAACTTTATGCTAGGAACAGAGAAAACTTTTCAACATATGTCTGAGGAATAGTTCCTGTCCATTAAAAAGCTGTGATGTAGTTGAAGAGATAAGCCTAATGTGTGACCAGTGAATAACTAGTGAACAGTAAATAACTATATCATCAGAACGTCAGGTGTGGTGGAATCAGTCAGTGGTTTACAAAGTAGAGAAGGAAGATACTATTGTGCACCAGAGTGACATCCCCCTCCCATTAAGAAGCATCCCCACATAAATTTCTTTTCTGATTCATTGATGATAATGAGAGTAATATGCATACTAATCAGAAGCTGAATTTCTGAAGATTTCCAGGTTGGTAGATAGAAAAGCCCCATTTTCCTGTAATGTTCTGGGTGAAAAGAACAGTCTGCTGAGTCTTTTGACAGGAGTCCTATGCTGAGAAGTCCTCAAAATAGTACACAGTCCTGGCACTGCCCACAGTAGGAACTTCACAGGTTATCTGCCCTGCCCTCCCACAGGCAAGTAAAATCATTTCAGTCTCCTGGGAAGTTTCCAAACCCTAAAACAAGTGGTACTCAAGGGAAGAAGAGTTACCCACACTTAAGAAATCCAGCTCATGTATTGGGGTGGCTAAATTGCACTCCTCCACATAGAAGGATCAAGTTCTAGCATTCTATTGTAATGAAAGATTTGACTGAAAATATTTGGTAGATTCCATTTTCAGGTTAGAGGCATTTCAATGGAAAGGGTACGTTCTGTTTTTTCAAAGAGATTTTAATTTGGGCCAAGTTTCAAATACAGTCATGCACCACATGATGACATTTTGGTCAGTGATAGACCTCATATATGACAGTGGTCCCTTAAGATTATAATGGAGCAGAAAAATTACTATTGCCTAGTGACAGAACCATTGTGACATTGTAGCACAACACATTACTCACTGTGTCTGTGATTATACTGGTGTAAACAAACCTACTGAGCTGTAAAAAGTCTAGGTCATACACTTATGTACAGTACCTAATACTTGATAATAAATATCACTGGTTTATGCACTTACTATACAATACTCTTTATCATTATTTTAGAGTGCATTCCTTCCACTTAGAAAAGTTAACTGTGAAACAGCCTCAGGCAGGTCCTTCAGAAGGTGATAGCTCCAAGCATGTTACTGCCCCTAAAGACCTTCCAATGGGACAAGATGTGGAGTGGAAGACAGTGATATTGATGATCTTGACTCTGTATAGACATAGGCCAGTGTGTGTAATTGTTTGTACCTTAGTTTATAACAAAAAAAGTTTAAAAAAATTAAATATTTTTAAAATAGAAAAAAGTTTGTAGAATATGGCTGCAAAGGAAATAACTTGTACAGCTATACAATGTGTGTTTTAAGCTAAGTGTCATAACAAAAGAGTAAAAGTTAAAAAAATGAAAAGCTTTTACAGTAAAATAAGGTAATTTATCATTGAAGAAAAAAATTTAAGAAACTTAGTGTAGTCTAAGCGTACAATGTTTATAAAGTATATAGGAGTATACAGTAATGTTAGGCCTCCACATCCACTCACCACTCACGACTTGCCAGAGTAATTTCTAGTCTTGAAAGCTCTATTCATGGTTAAGTGCCCTATACAGGTGTACCATTAAAAAAAATTTCTATACCATATTTTTACCTTTTCTGTGTTTAGCTATGTTAAGATACACAGATACCATTGTTACAATTGCCTACAGTATTGAGCAGAATAACCTGCTGTATAGGTTTGTAGCCTAGGAGCAGTAGGCTATACCGTATAGCCTAGGTGTGTAGCAGGCGATACCATCTAGCTTTGTGTAAGTACACACTGTGGTGTTCACACAATGACATAATCACCTAATGACACATTTCTCAGAATATATCCCAGTCATTAAGTGATGCATGACTGTATTTAGAAAAGAGCTTGTCCAGGCTTCAGATTATTTTTCTTGTGTCTTCCTGCCTTTTAGCTAGGCTTTTCCTTATTCACATTTCTACTGCAGAGTGACTGGAGAATAGAGAGGAAGCATAAATGATCCACTTTACTCTGTTGATAGCTCTGACAAAAGGTTTAATGGAGAGGGAATTGCAACTCAGGCAGATTGAGAATTTCAAATTATCTGTAGCTGCAGATAATGTATGTGAAGAGCACTCTGGAAACCGTAAAGCACAGTACCTTGTTAGCCAAAATTACTAGAAGATTTCAGTTGCCTGTGGGTTCTCTGCTCCTCGCCACTGAACATAATTGAATATTGTCCATAAATGTAACTGTCATGTAGTGGGAAAAGAAGGAGCTACAGGTTATAATACTGCATTGTAGTCATAAGGATTTCTCTAAATATTTCATTTTAGCCACTAACACCTTCAAAGCCACCAGTAGTAGTGGACTGGGCTTCTGGAGTATCTCCCAAACCTGATCCAAAGACCATTAGCAAACACGTCCAGAGGATGGTGGATGTAAGTACAGCGGTGTTTCAGCACACAAAAGCAAGGCACTGCCTGGCTCAGTTTTGTATGTGGGGCAAAGGGGAGAGGAGAGTACAATGGTGGAAATATAAAGGCAATAATCTTGAAAGGAACCACTTACTTCTCTTACTGTGGCTTTAGAACAATTCAGAAGTTACATTTTGACAATACACACTGGCCTTATATGAAGGCAGTCGTGCCTCCTCTTAAAGACCTAGCAGAAGAGCATATGTTTAAAGGTTGTCAGTTGATTCAGGAGTACAGAAGTAATGGGATACATTTGAGTATAGTAAAGGATAATACAGTAAACCTAAAACTGAAAAATTTTGTACTGCTTGATTCAATTCTCTGTGCTAATTGCTGAGGAAGGGGTATATATTCTCATACTTCTGCATTTATCCTCGTGGACAACTCCCGTGTAACTGCTTGATTTTTGTACTGCTTGATTCAATTCTCTGTGCTAATTGCTGAGGAAGGGGTATATATTCTCATACTTCTGCATTTATCCTCGTGGACAACTCCCGTGTAACAACAGAAAAGAGCATAACAGTGAGAAACAAGAGGATTAAGAGTGGGGACAGTGCACTTCCAACTGGGCTGTTTGTAGAAGCTTCTCAAAGAAGATGCAACTGGAGATGAGTGATGAAAAAAAGGGTAGAGTGAAGGGAGAACATCCTCTGTGTAGTGAACTAGGAGTAGCCAGCATGACAGTATAATTGATGTGCTAATGATTCAAAGTACATGGCCACCCTCCAGATGCTGCTACCAGCAAAGGCCTGAAATGTGACCTGCCACATCTTTGCCACAGCTGAAGGAGCAGGTTTCCCTGTTCCTCTTGTTCAGGTTATTAAAGGCTTTTATCCAACTGCCCCCGCTCTTCGTCATCTGACCTAAAGGGAGAGAAGACCGGTTTCTCTTTAGTAATCACCAAAAAAACTCCTTTTTCACAGTCTGTCTTCAAGAACTATGATCACGACCAGGATGGATACATTTCTCAGGAAGAATTTGAAAAGATTGCTGCGAGTTTTCCATTTTCCTTCTGTGTGATGGACAAAGACAGGTGAGGATTTGTACATAGGAAGATGTGGTTATGAGCCCATTGGTGAGAATAGGTTTATAGGTATGTCACTAGAAGCATTTGAAAACTCAGATGTGTTGCTGCTGTGATCACTTAAGAACAGACCATAAAATATGCATGCTTTAAAAAATATTCTGGGCCGGGCACAGTGGCTCACGCCTATAATCCTAACACTTTGGGAGGCCGAGGTGGGCGGCTCACCTGAGCTCGGGAGTTCAAGATCAGCCTGGCCAACATGGTGAAACCCTCTCTACTAAAAATACAAAAATTAGCCAAGTGTGGTGGTGGGCACCTCTAATCCCAGCTACTCGGGAGGCTGAGGCAGAGAATTGCTTGAACCCGGGAGGCAGAGGTTGCAGTGAGCCAAGATCATGCCACTGCACTCCAGCCTGGGCCACAAGAGCGAAACCCTGTCTCCAAAACAAACAAATTCCAAACTGAACATTCCATAAATCTGCCACTTTAGAAATGGTCAACTATAAATAAAAACGTTTAGTCTTCCTTCTTGCTTTGTCATTACAGATTTTGGGAACCAACTAATACTTATTCATACTTTGCATATTTACTTTTCTCAAGGTTAAATAAATTCTATCTTGGTTCTCTATAGGAAACCAATTGTATGGTTAGTGGGTTCCAGTTAGGTACTGTCTAAAGTCAGAAACTGTAGCATAAGACATTTCCTTCCCTATACACATGTACATTTTACATTGTTTCTTTTTCAAGTCTTATAGATAGTGGTCAAGTTAGTTAGGAAAACCTGGTTTGGCCAAAGAACACCTCTGTGGAAATGACTAATGCTGCCTCACCTACTTACCACATGTCATCTTGTATCCTTGTTAAGAGTAGGGCCCATGGAAGTAATCATAGCACATACCATATTACCACTGAGGATAAAAAGAAAGGTGAGTTTCTAAGGCTACAAGCCCCCCTTGCTACCTGCCTCCATGCCCCTTATACTCACATCCTTGCCTTGGTCATTTGCTGGCAGGGAAGGCCTCATCAGCAGGGATGAGATCACAGCCTACTTCATGCGAGCCAGCTCAATCTATTCCAAGCTGGGCCTGGGCTTTCCTCACAACTTCCAAGAGACCACCTACCTGAAGCCCACTTTTTGTGACAACTGTGCTGGATTTGTAAGTTGTTCTTAGGGTGCTCCAGGGTTGAATTGGGGAAGAGTGTGGGCTGGTTTAACTCAGACAGGCACAGACCTCACAATCCTTATAAACCCATCCCAGCCTGGAGCCCAAACAGACACCTAGAATAACCTAGAACTCAAGCGTGTGGTTTTTACCTGCACTCATTGTCTCTCCCTTCTTCCTGATTGTCTTTTCTTTTCTACTGCATGAGGCCTTAGATAAATGGTACCAGAAATGCTGAATTAGGGATATACTTTTAAAGTATAATATTTATGTGCTGTTTCAAGTGTTATAACAAAGACATATGAGATACCTTCTGTCTTTAGGAGATGATATATGGGCTATGCCCCTCCTCCGTTCCACTCCTGACCCAATAGTTTCCCCCTAAACCCAGGTCCTGATGCAAGGCTCTATATCCTTCTGTTTGGAGTCCTTAGGAACCTGTTTGCCTGATGATTCATCCATTTCTGGAAAATGTCTGAGTCATAAGGCTGCTAGTGAGGGCCAGGCATGGTGGCTCATGACTGTAATCCCAGCACTTTGGGAGGCCAAGGCGGGCGGATGAGACCCGGAGTTTGAGACCAGCCTGCCTAACATGATGAAACCCCATCTCTACTAAAATACAAAAGAATTTAGCCAGGTGTGGTGGAACATGCCTGGTGGTCCCAGCTACTTGGGAAGCTGAGACAGGAGAATTGCTTGAACCCAGGAGGTGGAGGTTGCAGTGTGCGAGATCGCACCACTGCACTCCAGCCTGGGCGACCAGGCAAGACTCTCAAAAAAAAAAAAAAAAAAGCTGCTTCTTGAGAAACTTTGATCAGCATAAACTCTTCTCATGTTTAACTTAAGGTCAGAAGGGACAAGACATGAGAGATAAATGAGGTTTCCTTCCCACTTGAGCTAGAGAGTAGAATGAAGGAAAACAAAGGAATGTCACCTTGTAGCCTCACACCAGATGGATGAATGACATGTGGTATATTGTGTCTCTTGTTTCATAGCTCTGGGGAGTGATCAAACAAGGATATCGATGTAAAGGTAAGACTCAATATTGTTAACTGTTTTTCCTGGTGTATCAGTCCATTCTCACGCTGCTATAGAGAACTGCCTGAGACTGGGTAATTTATAAAGGAAAGAGGTTTAATTGACTCACAGTTCCACAGGGTTGGTGAGGCCTAAGGAAGCTTACAATCATGGCAGAAGGGGAAGCAAACGCATCCTTCTTCACATGGTGGCAGGAAGGAGAAGTGCTAAGCAAAAGGGGGAAAAGCCCTTATGAAGCCATCAGATTTCATGAGCAGTCACTCACTATCGTGAGAACACCAGGAGGGTAACTGCCCCATGATTCAATTACCTCCCATCAGATCCCTCCCATGACACATGGGGATTATATGGGCACTACAAGGTGAGGTTTGGATGGGGGGACAGAGCTAAACCATATCACCTGGTCTTAAGAGTCCCACCTCTAAAACATTTTTTTGCCCGTAGTAGTTGTCCATTTAGTCCACAACTTCTCAGCAGAGTTCAGAGTCTCATCCCCAAAGTGGTTTCCTAGGACACCCTCGGTGAATGACCACCACACCGAAGAGAGAAATGCCCGGTTGCACAGTTAGGCAGTTTCCCTTGATCAAATCCACTTTCTGTTGATGTTGGCCTAGAACAGGGATGGCTGGTAGGAGATGGTGCTCCCATATAGTCATGGAAGGGTGGGTCCCCAGTGAAAAGGATAGAATCTCTTCTGGAACAGAAGATAAACAATTACTAAAGGCCCTTTATCATTCAGGACATAACTGTCCTTCCTTGTGACTAGGAGAATTCAGGAGTGAAAGAAAGGAAACCTTTTACTGCAAGAAAGAAAATAAGACCTAACAGCTGAGCGTTTCCAGAGGGTCTCACTAGAGTAGGCAGAATGTGTGGGATACCAGGACACCATCTCTTCCCTCCAAGGTATCAGGATACTGCTTCTGATGCTGAGACTCACTGATAAGGGCTCCATTAAGAATGTGAGCTCTGGGCTTCACCAAGTGAGAAGAATGCTAGCTTCATTAGGAATGTTGTGTCTTAGCTCCAGAAGATAGAACAGACATGTGTGACAAGAAAGCACTGCATGAATTTGGTTGTGAGACACACTGGGGAAGAGAGAAAAGTGAAAGACTTCTTGACCCAGGATGTCTTGTCCACAGACTGCGGGATGAACTGCCACAAACAGTGCAAAGATCTGGTTGTGTTTGAGTGCAAGAAGCGAGCCAAGAACCCAGTAGCTCCCACAGAGAACAACACCTCTGTGGGGCCAGTGTCCAACCTTTGCTCATTGGGAGCCAAAGATCTGCTCCATGGTAAGTAGGCACTGGGAACATTCATCTTGGAAAGTGAAGTAGGAAACGAAAAGTTTTAGAGGAGGAAAGATTACCTCATGACTCTATGTTAGAGTTTAAATTTAACCTCAACAGCTAGGCCAGGGCTGACTCTTCCCCCAGTTTTAGATTTTAGCTCCATGATGCCTATGTCTCAGACTTGAGGTGTGAGAACAGCAGAGTCCTAGTTAGGCATAAAAATCAGCAGGTACTTATTGAGCACCTACACCAAGCACAGATACTGACTTCTGGCCAGGATAGTCCCTCAAGTTAACAGTTAACTATCCCACCCTATCCCCAGCTCCAAACTCAAAACAGTGATAGAATATGTATGTACATGCATATGTATGTGTGTGTATATATAATGTAAATTCACATACAAAGTATATAAATAACATTAAAAGGCACAGTGCATTCAAAAACAAAGACACACATCTCACAGGTCAGACATGTACTAGAAACACACAGCAAGGAGTAGATGCGAAAGCTACTGGTCTGCTTGGCTGCATGTCTAGAAGCAAGTAGAGGCAACTGCGAATTTGATTGCTGCATAGTAACAGAGACCACCTATGCATGAAAGGTGACCAGAACCAGACTTACTGCTTAAAACTGAGAAGGAAAAATCCAATGCTTAAAAAACTGTGACTATCACTTAGCAGCGGGAAGCAGACTTAGCCACAGGCAGTCTTCCAGTAGCTGAGTGACTGTCTATGATATCCCCAATTTTTCTCCAGGAGAGGAGCCCCAAGCCATTAATTTAAGACCAGGTCCTAGTCTGGAGGACCCTGAGGGGCCAGGTAGCAGTAATTGTTGAAATTCTAGAAACAGAAGGCTAAATATAGAAAGGAAGGGTGGGGGGCAAAACTCTCACTCACATGGAGCTTGCAGATTAAAATTCCAAATCATACAAGAAAAATCCTAGGACTAAGCCAAAACATTCAACATTCAAGAAATAAACTAGCAAATTCACTTATGTTAAAATGCAAACAATAGTACAATAAGGAAATGACTTTAAGTATGTTTGAGATGCCCCAGATCTAAAGTGCAAAGAAGCAGAACAGACTGTCTCTGTCTTCATGGAGTAGTTCTAGTTAGGGGGAAGATAATATATAAATATAGAGCAGTTTAGAAACAATGCAAGAGTATATGCTAAGAACCAAATAGGTTGCAGTGACAGCAAATGACAGGAGGACATAGCAGAGAGATCACTGTACTGGGGCTGTTGGGACTTTATGCAGAAGGTGGAATTTCAGCTAAGTCTTGAAGGAAGGGTAGAATTAAGTTATGGGAGGAGGGCAGAGCACATTCCAGATAGGATGCACAGTAGGAGCAAAAGGCCAAGGGCAGAACAGCTCTAGTACTCTTGAGATAGTGAGCAACAACAACAAAAAAGGTGTTAAGGCGATTTAGGTAAGAGATGAAGTAGAAAAATGAGACAGTCTAGAGAGTCTTAAATGACAAGTGCCTGTCTATATGATAAAATGAGGAGCTATTTAAAAAAGAGTAACATGAAGGGCTTGTTGGGGAGAGTTGGGGCACGAGGCTTCATAGTGCTGTACTAGGCCCTGATCTCGGAGCTGGCTGGTCAGCCAGCATGTCAAAACACTGATCACCTTGACTAACTGAAGAACATAAGGTCTTCAGCAAAAATCCAATGCTTATTAGGTTAGTGCCAGCTTAATATAAGAAGCCATGTAACTTCTAATTAGAACCAAAAAGGGAAATAATAAATGAGTTTAGTTATATAAAGCACTTAAAATTGGGTTTAACACCTATGTACCATATGTTAATATCATTACTCTTTTGAAATAAGCTCCCTAAAGTGATAAGGCCACTATAGTTACAACAGATGCCTAGAGAAAACTTTAAGTCCATATAGTATACATTCTGCATTTGAAGCATTTCTAATGTTCAGTAGTATATATCAATATGCATTTGTTGATCATTTAGATCAAAGCTTTAGTGCTTTACTTCCATGTAAGAAATGCACATTCCTTTTTATCACATCAGCCAAGTACAAATTTTCTGCTGTCTTCCTAAATCCTTCCCCTTACTATCTATCTAAACACAGGCTGACTTCAAACTTTTGGGATGTTTTGTTCTTAGGGGGAAAAAATCCTCTCAGGGTCTTAGAAAGAATATGCTAATCAACTAAGGATTTGATGTTCAACTTTTAACAAAAATCACAAACACCATTGTGAAAAATAGGCCTATACCCTATATTTCATTCATGCACTCTGTATTTTCAGAGTTACACATAACCTTAGGGCACCACAATTCTGTCACATAAAATGCAGATTTTCAAGTGGCAAAGGTAGCAGAGAACAGCCTGAACCTGAGACCTCAAAAAGGAATCCCTGAAGGGGCTGCTGTTAGAGAGTTCTCCTCTCCAGGCCATCTCTCCTCTTGCTCCAAACCCTGCCCCACACTGATAAGAAAAGTAATTTTCAGGAAGTAGACCAACAGGTAGGATAAACATACATGTATCATGGGCAACAAAATGAAAATTACTATATTATTATAAAGTTGCTAAAAGTCAAGGTCTATTTATAATGGCAAAAATGACTATTGGATATCATCCATTCTTAGTTGTTTCCACCTCATTATTATCTGGGATGGTATCTGCTTATCAAATCAAAATTTCCAGTGATTTCTTTTAGCCCATTACTATCTTTCTCAATCTCATCAACTTTCACTTTCTTGAAACTTGTGCCTCTCCTAATTTCTATAACACTGTGGTCTCTCAGGACTCTTCCTGCAATTTGAAGGGCTTGCTATTGCTTTTTGTTCTTATTGCTTTCTTCCTTTTGCTCCTCAAAGTGTATAGTGCCCAAATTTCTGTCCCAAGCTCCCTGTATGTCTAGGAATTCAACCTAAGTAATGGACGGGATTATATTCATAATTTGACAATTTATGTTTGGTAAAAAGAATATATAACTGTATTACAGAAAAGTTGGAAAATGGAGATAGAAAAAAATCATCACCCATAACACTCCTCCAAAAAAGACAATAATTATTTTAGGGTGACCATAACAATTTAAATATTTGAGCACTTAAATAACTATGTAATTACAATTTTGAGCTTTAATGGATAAATATTAAATGTTAATTTAAATTATGTTCTCTTTGGCAAGAGTTAAACTAGGATCTTTGTAAGATTTCTGGTTTTACAACTGGTTGATTCTGGTCAAATACTAATTAGAAAACTTTTTTTGTTGTTTTTTAAAGCCATCTTGACTATACTAATCCCGTGTCTTCAAAGTCAGACTATCCAATGTTTTAATTACTGCTGAGTCTTTCCAAAAAGGAAACTGAGATGGTCTGCAGCTTATCTTAAAGCCTATCTATCACTCACCTCAAATGCATCTGCTCTTACTCTACTTTTCCAGGAAATTACTTCTTATGGCTAACATTACTAAGCTGGGTCCTGGGTAGTGGGTCTTAGTTGAAGAAAACCAGAGAAACTTACCTTTTTCCTTTCAGTATCAAACAAGGGCAATACATTTTAAGGTACATTTCCACAAGGCTAAAACTTCCTTCTCATGGTTAAGCTGTGCCCATTGTACAAACGGGTCCCCAGAGTTCTTATCTGTTAGAGGGTATCTATATCAAGACTGAGACACGAATGCTGAGGGTTCCCAAATTTCAGAGTCAAAAAAAAGTATGTACAGAGCATTTCTGTCTATGTACTGTTCTTATTCTCTTTATTTTATGAAATTCTATAGCACTGAGGCAGGGGCTTCAACTTACCTCCAAAAACAGAAACCCTCTAGGCAACCCGTGTGCAAACAGAAGAAAATGCTCTTTCTCAGGGTGGATGTAGCTTGACACCAGTGGCCATGTCTTGGCCAGCAAAGCCCCTGGATTTCAGCCCTCACTTACCCCCTAAATTGGGTGCCTGAAAATGGGTCCTCTGAACATATGGAACTCCTGTAACAATAAGAAAGGTCGCATTGAAACTAACGTCTCAGTCTTGAGTCTCTGCTTTCCTGAGCCAGAGTACTAGCATGTCCTGTATCTTCCTACAGCACCTGAGGAAGGACCTTTTACGTTCCCTAATGGGGAGGCTGTGGAACACGCCGAGGAGAGTAAGGATCGGACCATCATGCTGATGGGAGTGTCCTCACAGAAGATTTCTCTTCGGCTGAAGAGGACTGTTGCCCACAAGGCCACCCAGACTGAATCACAGCCTTGGATTGGCAGTGAGAGCCCTTCAGGTCCCTTTGTGCTGTCTTCCCCAAGGAAGACAGCCCAGGATACTCTTTATGTGCTTCCCAGCCCCACCTCTCCATGTCCCAGCCCGGTCTTGGTCAGAAAGCGGGCTTTTGTCAAGTGGGAGAATAAAGACTCCCTCATAAAATCAAAGGAGGAGCTCCGCCACCTGAGACTGCCTACCTACCAAGAGCTGGAACAGGTACCTTCCTTTTCCTTTTCCTTTTTCAGACTATCATAGAGAAGTGGAGCCAAACCAGGACAGAGCATGGAAACTGAAGATTCAGATCCGGCTGATTACAAGCAGTCTAAAACAAAAAAGGAGGAGGGGAGAAATGGGGGAGGGAGAAACAGGGAGGGAGACAGGGAGGGAAGAAAGGATGGATTGATTCCAGCTTTCTCACAACCCACTGGGGGCCTTGGTTCACATTACACAAGTAGCACAGGCTATACAGGGCTCCCCGTCACCACACAGGTGGTGGCATTTCGGAGTACTGGTGCCAGTGCCCAACGCACTGTTTACTAGGCTCATGGAGAAAAACCACAGTATCTACTGGTCAGCTTTACTGTGCTGACACCACTCCTTTTCTAGATGGAACTAAAATGAACTTGCCTAAATCCTCCTTCCCTAGAGGTCTCCTTGGTATGTTCATCAGGGTTATGGTTTGGGTTCATTATGGTTACGTAAGCATCTTTCTAAGAGAAGTTAGTGATCTTAGTTCTACAGCAACAACAATAAGAGAAAGGTGAGTGTATTGTGGCTCACCATAGAAAATGCCTCCCTCCTAACATAAACGAGGAGAATCTTTTCTAACACATCAGGGAATATGCTGATCTTTTACACATATTAGAATAGTGAAAGCAACAGTAGCAAGCAAATGCACAGTTGAATATAATATAGAGCAATATAATGTATAAAATATTAACAATTATGACAACAGGAGCTGCTTTTCAATGTTAGGCTCACAATGTCCTAATTACCAGGTACCTAACAGAGACAATGGAAAAGACAAAATAAAGTTTACCAAGGAAAGGAGAACAAGAGTTTGGAAACATAGTACCAAGGCTTGAGAGAAGGGAACAATGACATTAAAAATAGGAAAACAGGGCTGGACAGCATTTTGGGAGGCAGAGGTGGGTGGATCACTTGAGGTCAGGAGCTCAAGACCAGCCTGGCCAACATGGTGAAACCTTGTCTCTACTAAAAATACAAAAATTTAGCTGGGCATGATGGCAGGTGCCTATAATCCCAGCTACTCAGGAGGCGGAGGCAGGAGAATCACTTGAACCCAGGAGGTGGAGGTTGCAGTGAGCTGAGACCAAGCCATGGCACTCCAGCCTGGGCGACAGAGTGAGACTCCATCTTTAAAAAAAAAAAAAAAAAAAAAAAGGAAAGTAGGAGATGGGAACAGCAGAAGGAAGAAGAGCCAACAGCCAACTGTTGAGATACTCAATTCTGAAGGTTCAATCATGACTATACTTCTTTTTGAGTATACAACTCACAGGGCTGGCTCAAGAGGTTACCTATAATTGGTAAGAACCTACTGTCCCATGGCATAGTAGTTTCTTAATTATAGGTAACTAAGCCATTTTAGAGACAGGGAAGCAAGGACACATTAATATCAACACTACTATTCACTTTATTAGAGAAGAAGGAATGCCTTTCTGGCTCTTCCCAAAAACATCAAGGTTTGCACTGTGTTTCTGGAGACCTGTCAGTGCAAACACAAAACCAATATCCAGCTAGTAGATTCCTTATATAGTTCTATATTCTACAGAGTGAAAAACTGTCCATGAGGGCTTCAGGATTCCCTGCATTGTCCTCAATGCTCTACCTTTCCTGTCAGACCCCCAGAAACTGAATTAGAGAAACATGTGAAGAAACAAGTTAGACAACGTATGTGGAACTCTTGATTTGGTGCTTGGTACAAAGAACATAATATTTAGAGAAACATATGAAAAAAGAACAACGGATTTTCCGGATGAATGGTACTCTCTTGCTCAGAGTTATCGTTAAGATGTGCTGTAAAAACCAAGTCAGAAGGTGGCAAAACGTGGGTTAGACAAACCCCTTCCTCTTTAGGGACAGAAACTGCCAAATGCAACTTTTAAAACGATGAAAGAAACCTCAAAAAATGAACTCAATAGAATAGAAAGAACTTTGGTCTTGGAGGCAAAGATTGGGGTTTTCAGTCCCAGACATTGCTTACACCAGCTGTGAAACTCTACAACCTATTTGGTCCTTGTGAAATACAGGGCTGGGATTCCATGTTCTGTAAGGTTTGCCTCAAATCTTGACATTTTACATGCTGATGAAAGGGAAAAATGTGGTTGGCAACAATGCTTTGAGAAGTGGCTTGTAGGAAGACTAGAATTCCTACTCAGCAATATCAGAGGCAGTAAACCCTCTCACCATTTTGACCACCACCTCTCTTTACTTTTTAGGCTTGTCAGATAGACCTAAGGTCCAGAATTCACTGTGTGCATTTCAGAGGAACAATTATGTGTCCCATTTTCCCATTAAGTATAATCCTTACAATGACTAGTCTATGTGTAATTCAACAGTCCTATCCATAATAAGTAGTCAAATTGTCAGTATTTACAATACGTAATGTAAATTAATAAGTATTAATAAATATTACATATTAAGTATAATGCACCACTGAACCAGCACGGGACAAAAGCAAATAAAAGCTTTTATGTTTAGATATACCAGGGTTCAACTCTGCAGTTTTATACTATATAGCAACATTTTCCTTTGTAAGATTGGAGGTATACCACCTATTTTCAGGGTGTTTGTGAAGGTGAAGGTATTCCATTATCATGTCACACAGTACAGGCACATAGCAGGTGCTCAATATCATACAGCAGCTAAGACAGCTATCTACATAATTCAGATTGAGAAACAACCCAGTGTATCCCAAATTACCCAGACACTGTCTATATATAATATTCTCTTGGAGTAATCAGTATAGGATAATATAAGAACACTGGACTCAAAATCAGAAGACTGGAAATCAACCGTTGGCTCTATAATGATACCACTACAAATGAGATCACTAAATCTCAACTTGGAGGGGGAGTAAAATTCTTAACGTCATCAAAAAGTTACATTTGTTTTCAGTAATTTGTGGGGAAAAAACTTAGATAAAATTAACTGTAACACCTCGCATGAAAGAATTCTCAGTTATGCTTTCACGGCTCAGACCTGATCAGAGACAGTTTCTGCAAGTTGAGATCCCCCGCAAGAAAACATCCAAAAGTTTTGTCATTATCTACCTATTGCTCGGAAATGGTTTATTCTGCCTGCTAACCACTCACAAACTTTGATATGATAACAAAGACTAACTGCTGCTTACAAATGCTCGTTTGATATTTAACTTGCTATTTTCTATTCAGGGCAAAGTAACTATCTTGAAAATAGTTTTTAATTCTCAGCCACAGTGAATAAGAGATGCCAATCAAAAGTAGCTCTCAATTTGTAATTCATCTGCTATTCATTGCTGCTTTATTAACATACCTCATTCTCCTTTCCCTTTAGGAAATAAATACTCTGAAAGCAGATAATGATGCCCTAAAGATTCAACTGAAATATGCACAGAAGAAAATAGAATCCCTCCAGCTTGAAAAAAGCAATCATGTCTTAGCTCAAATGGAGCAGAGTGACTGTTCTTAGCCCAGAAACTCAAGTAGCACAATCTGTAGATGAGTATAGTGGAGATCTCATTTCCTAAACTGTAACGCACAGACCTGAGGAACTTTAGATTGACCAGCTTTAAAACAGTACTTTAAAAGGAAAAGCCTGTTATTGTTTATTTACCTAAAAGATTCCTAATGTGCAGCATTGTTTTTCAGTCAGTTGACTCAAAGGGGGAAAACTAAAGAATGAAAAACCTTTGCTATTCATACACTGACGTTCATCAAAAGTATGCGATCTAAAACACGACTGTCACTTCCTTACAAAGGGGCATCTCAGTGGCCTGCCTGGCTGATTCGTCCTTAAAACTAAAATCTCTGGAAAATGTATTTGCTTCTTACCCTGTGTTTTCTGCAAACTGACTTATTTTGTTCCAGCCAAAGCTTGCTAATAATAGAAAACTACCCATATTCCAAAAGTAGATTTCCTCTGTATCCCAGCATACTTTGTGAACCTGGCTCCTTCTTCACTACCTCAGATCTAATCAACTAGCCTATGTACCCTCCTTCCTCACTACAATCATAACACACGAGCATATCTACCTAGAAGCGAATTTCTACCGATGTAGCCACAACTTTTTAGAGGCCTATTAAACATGACATCATCCAATTGCAGGTCAACTCATAGTTGTAGCCTTGCAACTTAACAGTCATCATAAAATAATCAAATTAGGTACCTGGAAACGTAGTTATTACCATCTCATATTACTGTCTAATTAAAATAAACCTAACGCAAACATGTTTGTCCTTATATATTCTACAGTGGATAGAATTAGGAATTGATGGCTTTAAAAAAAAAATCTATGAAGAGTCTGTTTAACTCTTCATGTTCCATCTTTATCTCTGAAGTAAACTATTTTGAAAGTCCTCTTTTTTAACTGAATTTGTGCTTAACTGTCTTCACTATTAATACTATTTAGAAATAAGCTAATTGGATCAGTGGCTTAAATAACAGCTGACTGTGTGTACATATGTATATAATATGTATATACAATATCAGGCATGCATGTGGCTTGGAATTTTGTTTCCTCCATAAAATGTGGAAGTGAATAAAACAAGTTTTAGTCATTTATACAAAGTCACAAATAAAAGTTCAGTTTGTCACAAGATGAAATTGCTCACAAGGTAAAATTGTATTGTTTGGCAAAATCACAAGTAACAATCCTGTGAGTTTTCTATTATGCAGATTAATAATAAATGGGCTCATTTAGTTGCCTGGGCAACTATTCACAAATTCATTTGTCAGCCTCTTTTTAGTTCTCTTAAAAAAAAAAAACAACATATGATCATTTTCCTTTTTGGGGGTACTTAGCTTCCATGCCTATTAAGTCTGCTACTAGACGGACTTGAAATTCATAAACAAGTTGTCCAATTGCCAAGAATATGTTAACAATTAAAAGTTCCAAACCTAAAGCCAATAGCACCAAGTCTTCATAAGAATACAAAGTATATATACAGTATTGCTTACCTGGAGGATTCAGATCATTTAGGAATTCTCTTTGATGAAAGGCCAGTTCCCATTTGCATTCCTCCTTGCACTGAATTTTAGTAATGTAGAACTAACTTGTAGTTAGTGTTTCATTATATTATAAAGAATCATTTTACACACATATTTACCCTTTTCCAAATTTAAACTCAGAAATACCCAAAGCAGGCCTGCTTAGGCCCACTACCTGGCATATAAACTTAATAGTAACACTTTGTTACTTGCTTTTTATAGGACAAACATGAGTTAGGACAAACTCTAAAATTCATATTCTTCACTGTTCTTCTTTTCCTTTTATATAGACCAAAGACGGTATGCTCCAATTTTTTAAAACAGTCAAGGAACACAATTTTTTTCATTCTTCCTACTCTGCATTCAAAATAAAGATCCCCAGTTTTTATATAAATAATCTATAGGGATTCAAAAGGTCGCAGTCCCCTTAATTAGTCAAATTAGCAATGGCTAAACAGTATCCAGTACTGCAGAATTTATCACTGAAACGGATAAGAGGAAACAGTTTCATCACAGGTTTTTACAGTCCAGCAAGGGGCAACGAGGTATAGTATACAAGTTAATAGTATTTGCGTTGAGCAACATGGGGCTAGAGGGATCACAGAAATAATAAGAAAATAAAAGCAAGGTTTTGGCTTATCAAGCCGAGTGCACATTTTTGCATCTCACACGACTTTAGTTTGGCCAGGTATTTATCTGCCAAAACAAGGACAAATCTTGTTTTATTAACAGCAGGATCACTTCTCTTTTTCTTTGCTGACTCACCTTTTTACTGGCCCGTTGTGAATTTCTGTCTAAAAATGTATAATATAGAACTGCAAGAAAAAAACAAATGTACAGATTGTAAAGTTTTTTGATACCTAATGTAAGTTTTCTTTGTGTAATATTTATATGATAAAAGACATTAGGATCCCTACAACATAAATGTCTTGTGTTTCTTCTACTTCGTGACCATGTAAACACTTTACCTGAATTTTTACTATAATCCACAGCTAAGACCACTCCCCTATTCTATTAATCAAATTGAGTTTTCCTGGAAGGAAAGGCACAGCAGCTATTCAGTTTAAAATTTTCTAAATCTTTTTACAACACAAAGAAGTAACACTATAGAAATATTCAATCTCTTTCCATCTTATTCATAACTTACAGTGGTCCCCAAATATTAAGTCTATAAATACTTAACATTAAAGGAGACAGACTTGAGGTTGTCCCTTCTCTGTGGCTTTTAATTCCACAGTTTCATCTAAGCAAAATAGCAAGTAAAGAAGAGATCCTTTGAAGCTATGTATAAAATTGGTAACGACAGCTCAATCCAGGTTACAGACCTACTCAGGGCAATTTATTTGTGGTCATGATTATTTAGAATGATCAGACATAGCCACAATTTTCCCTTAATCGCCAGCTAATTTTTGTTTAACCAAACCAATGGAGAGAGAGGAAACATTTCAGTCAAATTCCTCTGTGGAATGCATTCTGGAACATTTAGATGGGTGTGTATTTATCATTTGGGCAATTCATAATACTTCATACAAAGTAATGAAGTCACACTGACTGCCTGATCCTGAAGGCGAGATTAAACTGCCTGCTCACCTCCCCCATTTTCATCCCCACATTTCTCTCACCTGTGCTCCTTCCAAGGTATAGATAGTATCACTGCTCAGGACATTTTTCTGGTCACAAATTTTTTTTAGGTTGTCATGCCGCCTCTTGTCACAAATACAAGTAATAAGATGTTTTTTATTTAAAGTGTTTTCCTTTTTCTGTTTAATGAGGCAAGGTTTCCCTGATCTGCAGAACAAAAGTAAGTTCAAAGAAACCCTTGTTTCCCTTTCGATGCGTGCTTATGAGTAATAGTGTGGTGATTATGTATGGACAGAATACATGCTCTTTATATGGTCCAAAGGAAAGATGACTACTTTAGGCAGAAATTCCCAGTAAGATCATGTCTATATGTGCTATTAGATACCAGGCTGGACAAAAAGAGAAGAAAAAGGGGAAGGACAATGAGGTAATTAAAAAATGAAATTGAGAACCAGGCAAACAAGAATGAAAAGGAGATATCAAAAAAAGTGTTAGATTTTAGGAAGCAGTAGCATGCCATTCATCATACTCCATGGTGTATTGCACTCAATTTATAAAATATTTTCACACTATGGCCTTTCACATTAAGGCCCCAAATCTCCTTCCTGCTATTCTAGATACTGCTCAGCAAACTGTTCTACAAAAGAAGTTTTTACTGAACAAAGATTATCAGGAAAATCCCACTTTACAGGAGAAAGAGTAAAATATTAGAGTCTACCTGATTCAGCTTTTCATTCAATTAAGGTTTATAGGATGTGTACATAGGAGTGGTTTCAGCTCCAACATGATTCCAGGAGCAAGTGCTAAACTTTGATAGGAAATAAGTGATTGCAGTGAATAACGCAAGCAGCGCTCCTATAAAGGTACAAAGAAATCTTACGGAAAATCTAATGAAACTGATGATGAACTGTTGTTTCTGCCATATTTATCATAAACCTTTAGTGGTAAAAAAGTTGAAAGTAGTTGTAAATCTCCTTCATCAGCAACTAATGCTACCAAAAAAGAAATGAGGCAGAAAGTAAAGGTTTTAAATGAAGATTTTAAAATAACTTTTGAAATATTTTACTCAAATATTTTCTGAAAATTTTTTAAAAATTATTTTTCAGAGTTCATAACTACTGATAAAGGTATTTTCTTAATTATGGAAAGTCTTTTTTCAGCTATCACAAATGAAATTATATCTTTTCATTAAATATACACACACAAAAAATAACCAAAAAATTTTATATTTTCCTACCTTAAACACATTTCTTCAAAGGGTTAGCTTGAAAAATACATGTCTAAGATTACAGAATATTCAATAGTTACTTTTAAGGTTTTAACATTATTTTAGATTTTACCACAGAGTTTACCAAAAAAAATAACAACAAAAAAACTTGCTAAACATCAAATACCACTTGTCCACTGGGAACAATTCAGCTTTCTATCAGTTGAGTTGGTTGGATCACATTAAGTTGTTATGCACAGGTATTGACCAGAAGCCTACAATGAGATACAGATTTTACACTGAGATTGAAAAAATTTACGGGACCAACTCTTTTTCTCTAACTCTCTACACTAAGAGAAAAATACATTACTTGCCCTACATCTTAAGGCATTCAAATAGGCCCTCTATAAGTTTTTAACAAATTGTATTTGTACTTAGGTCTTTATGAAACAACCCAAGATGACGCTAAGTGTCTCATTCCTCATTTGACAAATGAGGACAGATCACTCCTTGAGAACTAAGGTCATTTCAATCCACAGCACCCCTGACCTAGTGCCATGATTCAGATTCACAACTCTTGATAGCTAAGACTTTGACTGCTCCAACTAGCAAACCACATATAGCCATTCCCTAACTTTGTGTTTCCCAAATCTAGCTGTGAATCAGAATTACCAAGGGATGCCTTAGCCCTACCCTTGATCTACTGAAGCAGGAAATTACTGCCTTAATTCTGTGTGATACAGGTCAGCCTGTCTTTTAATATTTGGATATCTAAAGTGAGAGCATATATGATGAAGAGACCAGTTTATAGGACTATTTCTCACACCATCATGTGAAGCTGGTATGTATCTTTGCTCCATTAAAGTATTTCTGACCTCAATCTTAAAACTTTGCTTTGTCAAACAAAATCATGCAGATTTCAAATCCAATTAGAAAATAAGTATGTACAGTAAAAAACTTGGGCTTCAATTAGTGAAACTTTAACAGAAACACGGCTAGAGAGGAATCTCCTCCTATAAGAGATAAAAATGATTCACAACAACTGCCTACTAAATACAACTGGAAGTGCCTTTCCCTATTTTGTAAAATCAAATGAAAAACCCACAAAACACATCCACAGCAATACAGGTGAGGCAAGGGTCTATATTCCTTTCCATTACAGGTGGGGTCATTTATATGTCTAAACCTGAACAAAATACAGGTAACAATCTAAATTCAATCATGACAATAAAATACTTTCCATTTTCCAAGTTTGATGGTATTATTTACATTTTAAAAAATAATTTTTGTTCTTTTGTTTTTTAAAAAGACACAACATGCTCAAGGGTACATAGAATATGGAAAAAGTCTTCACTTCATTTGAGAGATCAACTGGTAGTAAAAAATAATGTTCTTACATATTAACAATTCAAGAATGGTAACACCAGGGAGTCTAACATGGTGTTTACTTCAAAGATGATATTCAAGTATGTTATTTAGAACACTATGTCTAATGTATCTATAAAGAAGCAAGCACTGCTATCTGATTTTTGTAGTTTTTAGTATCTTCTATATCCACCACCACCACCACCACCTCCTCCTCCATATGGATCTCCGTAGCCTCTTCCACCATAGCCCCCTCTTCCACCATAACCCCCTCTTCCACCATAATCTCCCCTGCCTGGAACCTCCTTCTACCACCTACCTCCTCCTCCCACCCTCCTCCCCCCCCCTCCCCACACCTCCCAACCTCCTCACTCCCCAGCCACCTCTTCCACCCCCACCACCTCCTCTACCACCACCTCCACCACCACCACCCCAACCACCCCTTCCACCGCCGCCTTCTTGTCTCTTTTGCCAAGGGGGCATTTCTGGGGGTGGTGGTTCAATTTCATTCGGCCGGCCTCCCCTGTCAGGCACCCTTCCCATCAGCACCTGTGTGAAGAAACATTTTCTTTTAGTTTCTAATATTTTAAAAGTTAAAGTTTACATAAAAGTTTCAAGTGATGTTGTTTCTAATAAACAGAAGCCAATATTTAAGGACATGAAAGTATCAGACATGGTAATACAATTGAATATTAAAAATATTAAGTGTGGGATAAGGAGAAATCTGTTCAAGGATACAAAATCACGGCTAGACAGGAGTAATAAATTCTAGTTTTCTACACCATTGTATGATGACTATAGTTAATATATAGCTTCAAATAGCTACAAGGAGGATATTGAATGTTCCCAACACAGAGATGATAAATGTTTGAGAGGGATATGCCAATTACCCCTGTCTGATCACTATACATTGTATGTATCAAAACATCACTATGTTCATACATACGTACAATTACTGTGTTTCAGTTTAAAAAATAATTTTACTTCCTGTTTACCAAGTCTGATGAAAAAAGAAAAAATGAATTTTTAAAAAAAGGAAATATGAAAAAATATATGTGATACAAGACAAATTCCTTAGAATATACATATACACATATATATATTTTTTGTTTGTTTGAGACAGAGTCTCGCTCTGTCACCCAGGCTGGAGTGCAGTGGTGTGATCGCAGCTCACTGCAGGCTCCACCTCCTGGGTTCATGCCATTCTCCTGCCTCAGCCTCCCAAGTAGCTGGGACTACAGGCGCCCACCACCACGCCCAGCTAATTTTTTGTATTTTAGTGGAGATGGGGTTTCATCGTGTTAGCCAGGATGGTCTCGATCTCCTGACCTCGTGATCCACCCGCCTTGGCCTCCCAAAGTGCTGGGAATACAGGCGTTAGCCACCGTACCTGGCCTAGAATATATTATTTTTAAACGATCTGAGAGAGTATTTTTGAAACTTAAAGGCTTAATTTTTTCTCACTTAAATTCGTTTAGCAAATTCTGTAACAAATGTAGTACCCACTTCACTAAGAAGTTTCTTTAGGAAAACATTTTTTTATATATATAACGACATACCTTACATTCATACCATTTATATAACAACAACTCTGGACTTTCCATTGCCATTGATTTGGTAATTGATTATCCAATAAAAGATTATATTCCTAAGCACATTTCATTTCAAAAATCTATGAAGTATATACAACATGGGACCTTAATGAGGTCAGAGATTGATATAAAAACTGTAATTCCAGGTATCACCACAAAGAGAGAAAAGGATTCTCAATGAACTACTTCTTTTAAGAAACTTAAGATCACTGACTTTCAGTGATGATAATGCCATGTTATTATAAGGAAAACACAGTTGATATAATTCCTTTACTATGCTTTATAATCCTTTCAAAAATATACTACGGAAGAGTTTAAGTATCCAACCTTCTGTAGAAAGCAGCAGCTTTATATGCCATGAGCAGAGGAAAGATAGCAATAAGAAGGGTGTCATCTGCTCACCACAGACAAGGGGAAGCCAATAGCTTCCTGCTACTGTCTTTCAGGAAGGAAAGTAAAACAGCAACTGCCTCAACCAAAATGACCAGCTAATTATACACTTCCATTGATCCTCTAAATCAAAACTAAGTTTAGGATTTATGTCACAAATGAAAGATAAAAAGTGCAATATCCTCAATGTGAGACAAGGTTCTAAGTATGCAACATTCTTTTAAAGATGGCAATGATGTCCTAATTACCAAATCCAAAAAACAGCCTTTCCTGGTTATTATTCTCACTGGTCTCTCTACCAAACATGGTATGTTGGTGGGCATATGGAGATGCCAGAACTGATCATAAGACTACCCTCAAATAATGAGATCATAAATTATAAACTCAGAAGAGATGGCCAATGTTGCTTACAGAAATAGAAGTCTTGATCCAGCAAGACTAAATTATAACCCAATGCAAAATGTTAGGTAATATATTTAAAGAGAGAACACTTTCAGAAGATAGGATTGAGCCACAGTGGAAGCACAGAGGCAAACACTGGTGATGCCTAATTTAGCGATAATTAGAAAAATGACTTTAAAAACAACCATCCTTCTGAAAAGGTATTTTATCTCAAGTTACACTGAGTGAGAAGCGATGCTTTAAAATTATCCAAATCCCTTATTTCTGATTTTTTGCTCTTTTGTAATAAAGTTTGCCATGGAGTGCTCTACCTAAATGAACAAGACATGCCAGTAAAGCTGACATAAACATACTAAATTAGTTTGTTGTTATTGCTGTTGTAAAGTAAAAAATTCCGTTTCCTTGAGTTTAAGACTACTGTCAGAGAAATTGATGTATACTCCAAATCAGGAAACAGAAGCTCAAAGAGGTTCACTAGCTTGCCCGGGTCATTTCTGTAAGTAAATGATAGAGCTAGGATGGGAACCCAGATTGGTCTGACTCTAAAGCACGAACTCTTCTTTCCTTTACACCAAGGATGTAAGAAATCTGTTAGTACTTGAAACAATTACTTTTTAGAAAGCTGGAAAATAATTCTTGCTAAAGCTTTGACAAAAACAATTCGTAATTTCTCTAATTCAGATAATACTTTGATTTATGAATACACAAATTCAAGTGAATACACATACATACACAAAAACAACATAACTAAGCCTAGACTGAACCCCCCTGCCACTCTTTCTTCTAAATATTTACCAGGACATGAAAGAAAAATAGGTTAAAATTTGTAAAAACATTAAGTAGGATATTATCAGTTCATTTTCCACTGTGCTGAAAGAAACACCAACCTTATTGATGGCACATGCGGTCTTCTCCCGGCTGGTGCCACTACTTGTCCTAATGATCTTGGATAGATCTTCACGAGCAGCAAGTAGATGTGCCATTGTAACTGTTGTCTTGGGTGACAAAGCATAATGTTTAGGCTGATAAATTCTTGCTATATCATCTGTTTTTACCTAAATGACAAAAGGTAAGGAAAAAAGGAAGAAAAATACATTTTAATGAAAGAGCAAAAACAATCATAACCCTTAGAAAGAAAGAAAAAGAGATAAAGAATAAGCAAGGAATTAAGAAAAGAGCAAAAACACCCACATATCTGATAATTTAGGAATAATTTAGAACAAATAAAATAGACCAACAAGTGTTAAAAATATGTAACTACCAGCAACAACTCACTAAAAAATAACAAAAAAATTCTATTCATATTAACAAAACAAATAACTAAAAAATAGTTTTACCAAAACCACATACAGGACCTTCAAAAGGGAACATCAGTAAATCTTGCAAACAAAAGGCAAACTTGTATAAATGGTAAGAAACACCAAGTTTCTGTATTGGGACATTAAGTATTATTGTCAGTTTTCCCCAGAATTAACTTATAATCCTACAGAAATAGTTTTTGAGAGAATGAAAACAAAAAAAGAATCTAAAGTTAAATCCAGAAACTCAATACGTAAGGATAACTAAAAGCATTTTGAAAAATAATCTTACCAAATATTAATATGCTATAATACAAAATCATCATCTTAACAGTTAACATTTAATAAGCACTTATTAAACGTGTCAGAATGCTGTTCACTTAGTAAGGCATTATTTCTTTAATCCTCAAAATATCCTTTTAGAGTGGTTGGTTTTTATTATGCCCTTTTGCAGATAGGAAAAAAAAATGAGGCATAGAAAGCTTAAGTTAGTTCTCCAAAATATAGAGAGAATCCTAGCTCTGCCCACTTACTAACAAAGGCCCACCTGACCCACAAGCACAGGTCTAGTATAGATAACAGTTTGCTATCCTACCTCCATCTAATTAACTAGAACTTGGGAGAAAAAAAAAAAAGGTGGATGAAATAGTATATTGAGACTCAGAGCCTCATAAATCTATGAATGCAATAAATGATAAACGAGACATCACAGATCAATGAGAAAAGGAAAGGATTATCTCTTAAATGGTGCTGGAATGACCTGGTGGCTATCTGTAATAACAATAATATGGCACACCATATAACAAAGGGAATTCCAAAGAGAATAAAACGTTAACTGAGGTTTAATTTTAAATTTAGAAACAATTACATTACAAAAATTAAAATTTCTATACTTCAAAAGACATAAAACATCTACTGACAACTGGGGAAAATATTTTCAACAAATAATTCAACCAGCAAACATCCTTTATATATAAAAAGCTCAAACAAAAGGAAAACAGAATTGCACAGGAAAAAAAAATGGCAAGACATATAAATAAAAGTTTTAAAAAAAGGAAATTCAAATGACTAATAAGCTTATGAAAAAAGTTCAACTTTGTCAATAATAAGAACAGACAAAACAAGTTAGTCTTTTTAACCACCAAGTTAGCAATAAAGAGGCTAAAGTGAGACAACATTTCATTTACCTTACTGACAGGAGTTTAAATTCATATAAACTTAACTGGAAAACAATTTGGCCATGGGAAGCGAGAGCATTAAGAGACATAACCTTTGACACAGTAAATTTCCTTTAGGAATCCACCATAAAATTTTACTTTGAAATTTATATATAAAAAATTATACATAGAAACATGCCTGGTATTGTTAATATAGAAAAAAAATGTATAAAATAAGAGAATTAAGTAAATTACTGAATCACTGTGATAAAACATAATGCAGCCATAAGAAGGACACTGAAAGAAATTTAGTACTGTTATATGCTACGACATGGATGAACCTTGGAAACATTATGCTACATCAAAGAAACCAGAAGCAGAAGCCACATATTGTATGATTCTGTTTATATGAAATGTTCAAAGGCAAATCAACAGAAACATAAAGTATAGTATAGTAACAGTTGCCAGGGCATGGAGGTAGGGAGTATTGGGAATGACTGCTGAGAGGTAGCTATGTCATTCTGGGATGATGGAAGTGTTATGGAATTACATATAGGGTTATAGAACACAGTGAACAGACTAAAAACCACTGAAGTGTATACTTTGGTATATTTTGGCCAGGCACAGTGGCTCACTCCTGTAATCTCAGCATTTTGGGAGGCTGAAGTGGGAGGATCACTTGAGGTCAGGAGTATGAGACCAGCCTGGGCAACACGGCAAAACCCCGTCTCTATTAAAAAAAAAAAATTTTTTTAATTAGCCAGGTGTGGTGGCACACGTCTGTAGTCCCAGCTGCTTGAGAGGCTGCAGTGGGAGGATCGCTTGACCCTCCAGTGAGCTGCAGTGAGCTATGATGATGGCACTGCACTGCAGCCTAGGCAACAAGACTATACCTCAAAAATAAAAATAAAATGGTAAATTTTATGTTAATTATATTGCAAAAAAATTAAAAATTAATTTCAAAAAGGGTACTAAAATAGAGTTTTTAGAGATACTGGAAAATGGTTACAATATATTTAGTGAAAAAGCATGCTATAAAATTACAATCACAGTATTATCTCGATACTAGCTAAACAGTAAAGAAACTACATAATCTTTCGAATAAATGACTATAATCTTTTTGAAGGGCAACTGTGGAGTATGCATCAACAGCCTTAAAATCATTTCCTTTAATCAAGGTATTTCACTTCCAGGAATACATCATGGACATGAACAAAAATTTAGCTGTCAAGGATTTTATTACAGGGTCAAAGAGGCAAAATCAGAGAAAACCTCAGTATCTATCAATACAGTATATATATGCATATAATAAAATATTGTGCAAAGATTTAAACTGCTGTAGAACAAAGTTGATAACGGTCACTCAACAATATCGGACACATTTTCCTATCATTAAAATAGGGAGAAAATGATAAAGATATAATAAATTTAACAAGTTTAACAAGAAAACTTAGTATACAAAGACATATAATCATATAATCAATTGAAAAAGACCAAATGAAAGGTCAAAACTGATCCATAGATAGCCTAAGGAAAATATATTTTTAAAAACCTTCCCAAATAAGAAAAAAACAAAAACACAACCTCCTTGTCCTAAAACATGAAGAAGAAAGACCAAGATGAGACAATAAAATATCAAGATATTTCCTAAAGGAATATTTGCTCAAAGTTCCCACTGAAGTCCAGTTAAGGGGTCAAACATGCCCATGAATCTATGTCACTGAATGTTGAAAGAATATGTCAAAACTCATTTGTTTTGGATTTCTCTGTAATCTTAATGCCAACATTGAAAATATCAAAGTATAGTAGGACAATTTTAATGCCACTACCATTCACAATTTGCCAAATATTCCTAAATTCCTTTTTCCTCAATAAAATTCTGTTAGGTTAAACTGGAGACCCAACATATATACAACCTCTATTAAGTTTCCAGAGCTCAGTAATGCTGGTGCTTCCCACACATCTGAACTCTATTCCATTTCTTGAGGTCAACAATCATGTCATCTACTTCGTTGGTAACTTATAGTTCTTAACAGCATCTGAGCTTCTTGCACAAAGCAGTTACTCCAATGAAATACACAGACATCCCTTGGAGTTTATCCTGGCGCACATGCAGAAGTGAATCAGGCTTTAACCACCCAAGAAGCTGATTAGATATTACACACACAAATCTTCTATACCTAATCATAGGCAGTATTGAGATGTTCATCCTGAACCAGGTACATAGTACATGACATATACAAAGTGGTGAATGTTTATTAAAGAAAATGCATGAATGATGATCTTTAATACCTCTTCTAATCACTCTTCACTTTTCTGTATCTGTCAGGTGTTTGGAAAGAGACTCTATGTAAAACACATGAGAGAGGATTTCTAGGTAAATGAGTCATACTGAAGACACTAAATTATAAAAGGTACATATATCCTAAATTATAAAAGGTACAGATAAAAAGGGAACCAACATTTCAAAACACTCAAAGTCTATTTGTAAAACTCCATGCCTCCAACCCCTGGTGACATGCTGCTACTCCTTTCCTGGACAAATTAAAATACAGTATATAGGAAAAAAAAAAAAAAATGAGGTTTCTCTTCCTGAAAAAATGAGCAACTACAAAGACCACACGTTGGCATTAAGAATTGCCACAGCACATCAGCCAGCTCCAAAGTCTGACGTTAATGATCCCTAATAATGACTGTAGTTCCCAACAGGCTTTATCGTGCTTTACTCTTTTCTTTTTAAGAGACTGTGACACGCTATGTTGACCAGGCTGGTTTTGAACTCCTGGCCTCAAGTAATCCTCCCAGCTCAACCTCCCAAAGTGTTGAGATTATACGTGTGAGCACAGCACCTGCCCTCCCACCATCATGTTGGTCTGAGTTTTTTTTTCATTCATGGTGCCTTTACTGAGATGAACCTGTTCCATAATTGCATAGACTCTTTCCAAGCTTTTATATTTCTTATTATTTTTCCCTTTGTTTTTCTTTATTCTCTTTCTGAAATGCCTTTAGTCAGATATTAAACATTCTAGATAGACCCACTTAAGTTGTTTTATTTTTTCCTCTCATTTTCCCTCTCTTTCCCTTTTTTGATTCACTCTCGAGAAATGTTTTTAACTTTATTTTATAGTTAGGTGTTGAATTTTGTTTCTGCAATTATTTTAAAATTTCCTTAAATTCTTTTTGTTTCTTTGATTTTTTTTTTTTTTTTTTTTTTTTTTTTTTTTTTTTTTTTTTTTTGAGGACCGGAGTCTTGCTCTGCTCGACCCAGGCTCGAGTGCAGTGGCCCGAATCTCAGCTCACTGCACAGCTCCCTCGCTTCGGGTTTACGCCATTCTCCTGGCCTCACCTCCCGAGTAGCTGGGACTCGTAAAGGCGCTCGGGGCAGCACCTCGCTCCGGCTAGTTTTTTGTGTTTTTTAGTAAGATGTGGGTTTCACCCATGTGTTGCCAGGTGATGGATCCATGATCTCCTGACTTGTGATCCGCTAAAAATCACACT